CGTGGTGTTCTTAATTACTTCTCAAGAAAACTTCCTGGGTTCATGTGATATGGTTATTAAGAATTGAAGGCAAGTTAACAAGGGGAAAATTATATTCCTTATAACACAAATGAAAAAAATATTTAATAGTAACCATGACAAACAGTGAGAGACTGTGGTATTGGGGGACAGTGTGGGATATGGAGACTAAGTTTCACCCTAGCTTTGACATTAACTTCCAGCTAGTCAACCAACCTCCCTGAGCCTTCATTTTTCATCTGTAAAGTTGAGATCAACACATCTATTGTCTAAACTTCTTGTGAGGATTAAATAACATAAAAGAGAGAGCTAAGCATGGTCCTCAACACACAATAGGTATTCTCTAAATATTTGCTGAATGAATGAATGAATGAATGAATGAATGAATAGATGAAAAAGAGAAGTAAGTGATACAAAAAATGGGGGTTTGATCCTGGGAAGAAGGCAAATTGCTAAAGGAGGAGAATCAGACAGTCAGATGGATTTGGAGTCAGAGAGATGCAAATTCATGTGTTAACTTTTCTTTTAACATCCCTGAACCTTAATTTACTCATCTGCAATAGGGAGGTGATAAGAAAAATCAGAATAATCACTGCAAGCCATAAAGGATGTATGTGAAAGCCCTTTGCAAACTGCAATGAGTGAATTATAGTTCAGCCAGTGATATACATTCTCCTCCTTCATTCAACATCTGGAACAGCAAGGCAACCCACCCCAGCCCAGCCAGGACCGGAGTCAGCACGCTCGATTTCTGGTTCTCCATCTGCAGGGAAAGCCTGTTGTTTCTGAAAAAAGCTTCCATGTTTTACTCTAAAACTTGCTTGGTTTCAGTGTGCGGTCTCTCTCTCTCTCTCTTTCTCTCTCTCACTGTGCGTGTGTATGTGTAAATTCATCTAGTTCACTGGGAGCTCTGTCAGTATCAGGTCTCTGTGTATGTATTTGTGTATACAGTTTGTAAAGTGCTTTTAGATTTTTTTTAAGGCAAAAGATAAACTCATTTCATTTAAAATCATCAGCTGGATTGCATTAAATGGAGGGAAAAGCAAAAACATACACAATATAGCCATTTCTTAAATTAAACACAATATTTCTCCTGTTACTTAATTACAAACAGACACAAATACTCTGGATTCTGACATCTCAGATCTTCTTAAATTCTAGATCTGGATTGCAACATGTAATGAAGGAAGGGTCAGATTCCAATTTGTGTGTTAAGCAAACCCAAGAGTTACAATTATATATTGGGACCATAATGACTTCACTAAAACAAGACCTAAACTTTTAATTAACCTGCCAAGACAAATTACATCTCAGAGCTCACAGGTAATGATCACAGACAGCTAAGACTCAATGCCAGGGACTCTTGGGGAAAGAGGGATTAATAGTAACATCAGAATTAGTCTGTTTTTGTATTAGAGAAAAAAACAGTATTCATTAAACCATCACTGTAGCTTGAAGGGAGACCGACAGGTCAGAAACGCAGCAAGAGAAAGGTAGAAGGAGACAGAGGATGGGAGAGAATACTAAAACAGCTTCCATTTATTGAGTGCTTATGTTAAGCCCAGAGCCTGTGCTAAGCACTTTCTATTTCTCTGTTTATATTGCAGAGTACTATTGTTCCATTTTCCAGACAAGAAAATGAGGCTCAGAGAGGTGGCATGAATGTCTCTTAAGCATTTCTCATGCTTAAGAGAAATCAGGCCATGAGATCATGAAGCTGTAACTCAGGCACCACTGTGAGTTGATGATCATGTCCCTAACCTGCCGCCATCCTATCAGGAGAGAAAAAAGAAACAGGGCCTGTAGCCTCCCACACCTTGCCAGAGCTAACAGGGGACAGTAGTTCTCAGAAGGCATCTATCTTCAAAGCTTCCTTGACCAAACCCTGGAGTCAGGATCCCCTGAGCTTTACTGCAGGCTTACTGAGTCGTAATTTCTGGAGAAAAGGCCCAGGAATGTGCATTTTCCCCTAATTTCCCAGGAGATTCTTTTATTCAACACTGTTTGAGAACCATCCATAAAGTACTATATCTAACCCCTTGCCACTCAAAATGTGGCCCATAGCGCATTGGTATCACTGGGTGATGGTTGGAAATGCAGAATCTAAGGTCCCCCACCCAGACCTGTTAAAGCACAAGACCCTCAGTCAAGTCTGAGAAGCACAATATGACCTGACCTATCTGCTCTAAAATACACTACAGGGTTAAGTGAAGACAGCTTTCCACATTTAGGTGAGAATGGCAGAACCAGAGGGAAAAGCAAGACCATCTCCCTAATTATGACAAGACAGGTTAGCAAGCTCTGACAAGCCAAGGGTTGACAAAGATGCCTCACTGTGCCTATGGTTTATTCCTCTAAGATGTGTATCCTAATTAAAAGTAGCTTTCTTCTGGGGTTTGTATTAATATCCTTTCATATTTATGTTCAATTATTAAAAATAAGGAATTCTGATTATAAAAGCACTTAATTTTGGACAAGCACTACTCATGCTTCTTTGTAAACCATGCTTAAGAGAAATCAGGCCATGAGATCATGAAGCTGTAACTCAGACACCAACATGAGTTGATGATCATGTCCCTAACCTGCTGCCATCCTATCAGGAGAGAAAAAAGAAACAGGGCCTGTAGCCTCCCACATCCTGCCAAGTGACAGCCTAACAGGATGAGGGCCAGACTGGGGTCTCTGATGACAGGGAACGGGCTATACTGTTAGCCTTAATGTCACCAGTAACTCTGAGCTGCAGCCTCAAATACCAGAATCCAGAAAAGCTAAGAGCTGGAAACCCCAAGTGATTTGTGCAAGGTCAAAAACCCAAGTTTGTGCTGGAGACTCAAAATGGAGCACAATCCCTGCCACAGTTCACAAGAAGTTATCCAGGGAGGAAATCAACAGCGCCGCAACTGCCTGACAATCGCAGCCGCCAATCCTGCGAGGGGAGCTTGTTCCCTCATTCACTGCGTGACACTGCGCCTTGCTGGGCTGGGTGCCAGGAAGCACAGACAAGATCCTGTCAAAGGCCCTGCCCTCTATGCATTTAGAGTCCAGCAGCTCAGACAGACATCCCCAAAACAAGGACTGGACGAAGTGATAATTTCTACATTGGAGCTAGTTGTCTGATCGCCTCCACCGCCTTCATTTGCCAAGAGGGTGAAATATTGAGCCTGTATTTACAGCAGAAGCTTTTTAGCCACACCCTGTATTTAATGGGAAAATACTTTCTGTCTAAACACAAAGGGCAAAATTTTAAGTAAGAGGGAAATGGCCTGAAAATGAATCCTGCTGTTTAGAAGTAAGAACCAGGGGCTGAGCATGGTGGCTCATGTCCATAACCCCAGCATTTTGGGAAGCCAAAGTGGGTGGATCACTTTAACCCAGGAGTTTGAGACCAGTCTGGGCAACGTGGTGAAACTTCATCTTTCCAAAACATACAAAAATCAGCTGGGCATGGTGGTATGTGGCTGCGGTCCCACTATTCGGGAGGCTGAGGTGGGAGGATCACCTGAGCCCAGCGAGCTGTGGTTGAATCACTGCACTCCAGCCCAGGCAACAGAGTAAGACCTGGTCTAAAAAAAAGTAAGAACCAGGGTCTTGTAAGAGTTTTGGAAACCTAGTACCAGATTCAGAGATTTGTGGGGGGTTTGTTTGAGACAGCATCTCATTCCATCACCCAGACTGGAGTGCAGCAGTGACCATAGCTCGCTGCAACCTCAATCTTCTGGGCTCAAGGGATCCTCCCACCTCAGCCTCCTGAGCAGCTGGGAACACAGGCACACACCATCACATCTGGAAAATTTTATGACTGTTATTTTTTGTAGAAATGAGGATCTTGCTATGTTGCCCAGGCAGGTCTCAAACTCCTGGCCTCAAGCAATCCTCCTGCTTCTGCCTCCCAAAGTGGTGAGATTATAGGCATGAGCCACCACACCTAGCCTGGATTCAGAGATTTTTATCAAATTCCGCTCTTCTAAGTCAGAGAGACTCCTAGCCAAGGACTGAAACAGAGACTTTTCAGGTTTACTCCAGACCACATAGAACCGTTCATTAAGCAGAAACCCCATTCCCAGGTGTTCTGTTTAATGGAGTTAAAAAGGTATTCTTCCATACCTTTTAGTTTCCTGTAGGGAATTTTTATCTCCAGGCTATGTCACACTGCTTCTAATATAAACTCAAAAAAAAATATTTTTTGATCTGAACCGCCAAGACCATAGTGTCCTACAAGTACACTACGGCAGCCTAAGGAGCAGACACATTCTATGCAATGTATTGGTAAAGGAGAGAAAATCTTTAAATAGGGTGCCAGGCTTCCCAGACACCCACAGGCTTCTGCGCTGGCCCAGGGGCTCAGGGTGAACTGAGAGCTGAGGCCCTCTTCCACTGCGAGGGACAGTGAAGCTGTTAAGCACTCATGTAGAGCATTAGGGCCCACTCTTTGTTAGAGATTAGGACATCTCTACTCTCAACAAAACCCCAGTCTGACTGATGGCATGGTTCATCCAGCCTTTCGCACTGCTGTTCTTACTCTCTTCAAGCCTGTATTTTCTTTTCTCATTGGCCAGGGGTTGTTGGCTCCAAAACAAAAAAAGAACAAAAACCAAAACAAAATCCAAACCACAAATCAGTGAGGTGAACCAAGTGAGACTCTAAAGACAAACGTGGGAGAGAAGTGCCAAGAAGAGAGATGTTGCCTCCGTGTGGCTTGTCCAGGATTCCTGTCTCACAATTCCACCCCCATCTTGAAATGCACCACACACCAACCAGACAGTGGGAGAGAAACAGTGGAAGACAGCCCTGGGCTCAGGTGCCAGCTCAGAATGGCGGGCAATGCCTTGGGCAGCAGGCCCAGTCAGGAAGGTCTCGTGCCCAGCTCCAGGGGCATCTACAGCTCTGAAATCCCCTGGTCAGTGTCAGTCCCAGAATCTCGAAGCCGCCTCCCACCCAAAGAGACGATATCCCACAGCTCCCAGAGGGTGCGGCTCCCTTACCAATGGCAGTGGTGAGAAAGGAAACCACTTCTGACTCCTTTCCGTCGTTGTAAAAAGCCAGGTGCCAGATTCCTGAATCCAAATACTGGATGAAGCCTGTCTCATGGCTGGAGGGGGGCACAGCTCCCCGAGACTGGCGCGGGGTCCCCTCCAAGCTCCGCGCCTCCTGAGTTAGGAGCCTTCTGCCATCCAGCAGCTCCACAAAGTCAAACTGAAAGACAAAGAAAGCACAGTTAGCACCAGCATCCTTCCTCGGGCTTCTCCTGGAGAGGACCTCAGGAAACAGAAGCACAAAGGGTGCATAGAGGCTAAGGTTGCAGGAAGGCTGACCAACCAACTCAACTCTTCTCATGAGCCCATTTTTTCACACTGATATTCTCCTGGTTCTCCTGTGAGTCAGGAACAATTAGAGGATTCTTTTTTAGTCTCATTTTGTTTTAGTTCTTTTTGTACTGCTGGTGAGTCTTCCCCTGGCTGAGTCTGTACCAGGACAACCATGCTTCTTTTCAATGTCAGGTGTGTGGTTAGAAACCCAGCCACTCTACAATTGGTTCAACTCCATGCAAGTTATGACGAGAATCTTGGCGGGTGGTGGAGGGGAGCAGAGGTGGGTGGCTAGGACTGGGATTGGAGCAGTGGGTATGACTGGAATGTCAGTCATGTACAAATGAAAATTTGATTTATGTCTACTTTCCCTTGGTCAATGGTTCTTTCTGAATGCTCTAATTTCAGGGAGCAAATTTAGGGGATCTAAACTAGATTAGCTCAAAACTCTATCAATAATTACATGCTGTGTTAAATATAATTACCAATTGATCAGAGATTGCTCGTGTGAGACTCCAGAAAAGTCAGTTACAAAGTGCTTACAACAAGTAGGTGGTTAAGTCCTACCAGCCTACTTACAAGCAAATTGAGTAGTTATCTAGCAAGCGAGCTAGCTTTAAAAGATAAACAAGATATTTATTCAATTTCATGAAAAACTGTCTGGAGATCCAGGCCAGGACTAGTGTACCAGTATGAAGTCAACAGGAGCTCAAGGCTCTTCTCCTGTGATTCCTTCCGCAGCGAACCTATCTTTCAACTACAAATCTGAAATAACTACTACAGCTAGGAAGGCTGCATTTGACCTGGGAATGCCTGATGAATGCCTATGATTTACGTTATTTTAATTCCAGAGCTGGCAGGACCTTGCACAAGTCTCTGTTCTTTATTAATCATGACTGGTAACATGTCAGTCATCCTGGACAAGTTTTTTCAGTGTTTCTGGTGTGCATGTGTCTGAGTCAATGCGTAACCCTGAAGGAGGGAAGGAATGAGAGAGACTAGGGAAGAAACATTTATTCTGAGCCAGGTCCTGCACTAGCTGCCTTATAAATGTTACTCTTTATTCTTCACAACAGTCCTGCCAAGTGGGTATTGTTATCACCATCTTAAAGATTAGGAAACTTGCTCTGAGAGGCTAAGTAATGAAACCGAGGTTATAATGCTGCTAACAAGAGGATTCAAACACAGGTCTGTCTGATTCTAAAATGCATGCTTTTTTCTCTAGATCACATTTCCTGGATAATTTAACTTAGGAAACTGGGTAATAGCAGAAAGGCTGTTAAGAGATTTCCTAGAATTCCTTCCTCTTAAAAAGCCCCAGTGATATAAACTTATTCATCTGAAAAGGAGGGTCTGAGAGGGGGTACATGGATAAATGGGCTATAAAATATATAAACACCCTTCAGGCTTAGGCTCTGGGCTGAACTTCTTTCGTTACTTTGGGTTAAGACTGGAAGTAGGAGCCCATGCAGATGAACAGGGTATGTGGGGTTCTGGTTACCTGTGTATGTGAAGGAGGAAGGCCTTTTCTGCCATAAATGCCAACCAGGGCCGCCTTTCCCAGAGACACATTGAATTTCAGGTGCACGGGATGGTCTATGAACACTTGAGATCTCCAGAAAGTGCCAGGAGGAATCTTCTGGGAAGCTCGTCTCCCCACATCAATTTCTCCAGAATCTATGAAACTGTCGTCTGGAAAGAAACTACTGGGCTTTCCTACCAAGACACAGGGAAGGGAAGACAAAGACATCTCAGTTACTCACATGGGAAATGAGGAACCAGGACATCTGAACACCCAGGACTCTCCTTAGCCTCACATCCTTCTCTATAATGTTCTGCTGTCAGCTTCCTCCCCACCCCGGCCCTCCCCACATGGAGGAGTAAAAAGGTCCAGAACTTTTTTCCCCCAGCGATGTTCAAATTATTCTGCTAAAAATATGCATTCTTCCAAAGCAGTATGGGTCCTCCCCAAGGGCCATCTGTTTAATGCATAATTCCACAGCTTGTTAAGATATATTTTGATCCTAAAAATAATCATTTGTGGTCACATGAGAATAACTCCGTGATTTGGTGTGTTAAGGGGCGCATGGGTAAAACAGAAAGGATAGAGGGAACAAAGTGTTGTTATCAATATTCCAGCTCAGAATGATCCCCCTAGCAGTGGGAAGCATGACTTGGTGGAGTAAGGTATTCAAAAAGCTCCCTAATTTGTATATACACTGGAAGCCAAATTCAGAGGCTAAGATATGTGGATGGGGGGTTGTGCTTAGAGCAGGGTTACGGGCTGGGGAAAATGAGAAAAAGGTACTTCTGAAAAGAGGAAATATTTCTGCAAAATGTTTCTTTGTCTTTGGATGAGGGTAAATATCATTTTGGTGCTAAAATTGGTCAAGCTGGGGGAATTCCTCAGGTTCACATGCCAAGTCTATGCCACACTTGGAAATCCCACCTAGGCTCCCAACCCTGTGCCCAGCATCAATGCAGGGCATCATGAGTAAAGTCTCTTGGCCATTTCTGTCCCCATCAGGAGAATGACAGGCCTCTGGGAGCACTACAAGTGCAAGGAAGGAAGGCAGCTTATCAGACTCCCTCTATTTAGTAATTAAACACACTCATACATGAAAAATACAAACCCTAACTTCCTGCCAGACTTCAGCCTCCTGGAGAGTTGAGAGGGAACAGGAGAGACTCTAGGGATGTTAGGAAGACCACCCTTAGCACACTGAAAGACCAGCATCAGGTCAACAGGCTGTATTTTATTTATTGTTACGATGGACTTCCTGGGTATCCTGGTTCCAAAGGTTTTTTGTGATGTGAGAGATGTTGGAAGAGACACTTCAGAGAACAAGAATTCATTTGTAAAGAAAACACATTTTGGAACTTTTTGTAAAAAGCATTTGGGGAATAGGAAATTAAAATGTCTTTCTTTCCCCCTAGCTTCATAAGACTCCTTACAAAGCACATTTGATGCTGAAATGAAGCCTGGCAGGGCATTGTTGTAGTCATAAAATATTTTACTGTTTTAAATAATAAAATTCAATTTAAATGTTAAACTTCTCCATATGTTATCATTCCCTTATAAACTCCTAGGCAGAAACATCAGGTTTTTAGCTTCAAACTGTTCAATGTTATTTTAATTAAAAATATGCCAACAAAAAAGTTAAAATGCACACTATCAATGAAAGTACCACTAGTATTTTGTCATTAGCATGGGAAAGAGTTTGTTTTTAATTCCTTTATGGAAGGAATGTGCCCCAGACTTTTACCTTGAAAAATATAGATACACAAACCACCACGCTGTGATTCACAAAGTTCAAAGACAGAACCCAAATTCACAATGCATTGAGATGGAAGAGAATTATTTACATTTCTTTCTTATCTGATTTTTGGGTTCCCAATACCACAGCCATTCTATATTCCATGAGGAAAAGAGTCTACCGTCAGCTTTTAATTTTGCTACGGAGGCAGAACTAAGAGGGAAAATGAAACAAAAGCAGATGCATTCTGAGCTTTTTCCTTCTAGAAACTGAAAAGAAATAAATGCAACAATGCTAATTCCAAGGGCTCGTTTCCTTTGTGAGTAGATAGGAGTCTGAGCTGATAGGATTTGAGAATTTTCTGAATTCAAATAATTACCATGTGTGAAAATAAATAATGGAAAACTGCTCCCCCCTTTTAATATGCTGCTGGAGAACCCTGCACAGTTCATTTTCTCCCTCAGTGAGCGTATTTTTAGGAGACAGTGACTGTATCAGCTAAGTTTTGCAGCCTTATAAGTCAGAGGTCTGCAGGCCTCAGGCATAAATAAGTTGGCTCTTACCCCAGGGGAGATAACAAAAGGGGACTTTTCTAGTATTTCACCTAGGTGGACTGAATGGGAGGGAGAAATTGTCTTGAGTGTGTATATGCTGAAATAAAAATAGAAAACTCTGCTCTAGGACATATCCTCCATCAGGACCTTGAGGGCCTCTGGTCACCAGTGCTCTCCAAATCCCACCACAAGGTCAGGCTGGGAGCTGTTGAGGGGGAAAAGCTAACAGCCTGCTCATCACCTTTACCTGGGTGAAAGAGTCATGACATGGGCTGGGCTGAAGATTGGGAAAGGGAAATACCTTCCTTCCTTCCTTCTTGCTTGCTAAAAATCCTTACTGCCTTACACTTTCTAGATGCTATAAGATTCTAAGATTCTTTGTCCTTAATTCTGAGCACCAAGCTGTGAGTGCTAGGATATAAAATATCCTCCACCATGAAGCAAAACCCACCAGTGGTGGAATCATGAGGGAGAGGAGAGGCTAGAGGCAATTGAAGGCAAAAAGTCTTGTGTATACAATTCTTCTTATCCCTACCTATACTCTGGAAGATAAAAATAACAATAGATGTTAGTGCTGGAAATAGCAATAAAGGTAGAGGTAGTAGTATTACCAGTCATCTTGGCTTCCACTTGATGAGCTCCAAGTACAACATTAATATCTGTAAATGGGGGCTCAGAATGCTTAAGAAACCATTTTGGGATCCCTCTTTATTTATTATAATATGGCTTCCGAAGGGATCAAATTGATGAATGATTAGTTAAAACACTATAAAGACTTTCTCTGTGGTGGTGGGGATGCATTGGCCTTCTGAAGGAGCAAAAGTCCAATAGAATTCACAGCCCCAGGCAGGTGGGGAGTTGCAGAGAGATAGCATGGGGAGAAATGCCAGATATAGGTGAAGGGGAGGAAGGCAGCAAATCACACTACCACGTGTGTACCTATGCAACTATCTGGCATGTTCTTCACATGTACCCCAAAACCTAAAATGCAATTAAAAAAAAAGAATTCAGAGCCCCAGCAGGCTAGATATCAGAGCTAGACCAGGTAGATCCAAGGCCCACTAAAAAACTTCCTGGCATCCTAGGTTTACAAAAAGATCATTTGTATGAATTAGGAACATACAAACATGTCCCAATGTTAATGGGCAACAGTCAGGGTCTCAAGACATTCATGAGAAGGACACTATACTATCACTGGGTGCCCCCAGAGACAAACTCTGCAAAAAGCTTAGATCACAATTATGGCCCCCCTACAGTAAGACTAGGCTTCACAAGGCAGATTTTACTAGTAGTAGTCCTTTGCTTTGTAAAGCTAGATTGATTCAAGCTTCCTATAGCAATGCTATGCAAATATGCAATCATGTCTATAAAAGAAATTTCTTAACGAATTGCTAAAATGATTGGATAGTTCAGTCAAAAGCAAGATTTGGAAGAACTGAAATTTCATGCACTTCCCAATCACAGTCTTTACTTTCCTGAACTGAGATCTATCTGTATAGGTTCTAAACTCCTAATCAACTAATGTTCTTTCCCTTCCTCCACCTTTTTGATTCTTTTCAATGCAATAACTTGCATGAAGAATTCTTTAGTTTCCTTAGCAACTGCTGGAAATTTATTTGGTTATCAAAATAAGCTGTTCCATTTTGGAGAGCCCAGCTGAGCCTGCGCACAGCAATTTTGCATGGTTCAAACTAATGGGCAATTTTTATTTCAGTGCAGAAAGAAAAAAATGCTATCCCAAGCCCACCAATTCAACCATCAGAAATGCTTGTTTATTCAATGCTTTTTTCCCTTTCCCATTAATGCATAACACAAGTTCTTGTGGCTTTAGTTTGAAAAGCTGCTGTATTTGGTTTCTGTCCCATCGCAATCCTGGAATGGTTACAGCCATTTTGAAAATATAGTATGAACTGCAGATTCATATTATTCTCAAAGACATGAACATTTACAGTTCTTAGATTATCATATATTTAATTTGTATAAATAAGAAATATACATTCTTTAAAAAATTTCAAAAATACCCCAAACCTTTGCAAAATCTGTGGCAGGGCAAGAATGTTAATTAGTCTGGACATCTGAGATTTTAATAACTAATATGAAATGGCTTGGGATTTGAGTGGATAAGAAGAAGAGAACTAATATTTGTTGGGTGCCACTTCAACATTAGGCTTTGAATGGATAGATATTTTCATCTTTGTTTTACAGATGAAGAAGGTCAAGGAGCTGGAGTAAGTGCTGTGAGTTAACAGAGCCAATGTAAAGCAGGCCAGAATTAACACCCTATGTGGGCTGGCTCCAAGGTCCCTTTACCCCCTTTCTATCACACCACATTCTTTCTTCATCACTGTGAAGCAGAGACTCTAATCTTAATTCTGGAATCAGCTGTCTTCTTGAATACCCTCAGAAGGGACAAGAAATATGTACTCACATCAGGGGTAAAGATTTCCCCGTTGAGATAAGTCTAGGGAACTGCATTTTTAACATCACAATGAAGAACATAAACTTAGTGGACATTGGTTTGACCAGGGCAAAAGAAATGAAAAACAATGTGGCCTCACATAAACTGTAGGAAGCTTTGTCCTTTGGTTTCCAGTAAGATGTATTTTTTGTCACAGTGATTGCTTCTGATGCTGACCACTTTACAGCACAGTGCTGCATTGAAGGGGTTTGCAAACAGAATTTCCATTTGCATCAGTAATGACAGATAATCCCTTTAAGCAAAAATACTCCAATTAAAATAAACCAATAATCTGGTGCAATTTTATTTTATCTCTTATCTGCACCTCCTGTTCCTTACAAAAACAAAACAAAACCTAAACAACCCACAGACTAATTTCATTAGAGTAAGAGATTTCAGATAGATCAGACTCCTGTTTAAAGAATGTCTGATAGAAATCACAGAGCGAAGAAAATACGTTTTGCAAATGAGATCCTTTACCAGTTCCTTGAGGGTTAAGCACATTTAAAATCTACATTTGTACATGCTGATCTACAGACAATCTTCACTTTATGGTATTAACCCACGGCATCTGACACTATAAACTGACATGGGCACCACAAGCCAACAGGCAGGACCATGGACAGGGCCAACGCAACAAGAAATTCTGAAGAGCCATCTGGTTACTTACATGATTCTGTTACTATTTTCATAGGTAGAAATTAAAAATTGGAATGCACCTTAAAGAGAATCTAGCACAATATTCTGCTTTTGAAGAGGAGGAAAAGGGCTCCCATAAAGTGTGTTCAAGGGATTTGCTTAAGGTGATACCACAGGTCAGTGGCTGCAGCTGGACTTGAACTCAGGGCTTCTGACTTCTAACCCAGAGCTCTTCCCATGGTCCCATTCATGATTCCTCCCTCCATATCCTATTAACAGGCAAAGAAAGTATAAATTATTTGGCATTTTTAGACTTAAAATCTTTGCAAATGAGAGGACTGGCTTTGTCCCTCAAAATAGTGGGCAAGGGTTCTGTGTGGAAATGACCCCAGTTCTCACTTCCCTTAAAGACAACCAGAGTCCAAGAGTTGACTTTGGCCCTCAGGATCTTCATTTCAGAGATCATGAAGAGACACTCTGATCAAGTATATGCCACCCTGTAAAACAAACTGACAGATGGAAGGCAAATCCTTGCAAGGGCAGAGGGGCTTAGATGCTATCACCCCAAAGTCAACTGAGAGAAAAGATGTAAGCAGTGAAAGTTAGAGGCAGTTACTGCCAACGTGCTGACCGAGGGGTCACAGAGAGAGAATGCAAGCCATAGCAGATGCAAGAGGAGGGAAGGCCACACCACCCACAATGACAACCAGGCTGCTTTATTAGCTCAGACACCTTTCTGGGTGCCAACTTTTGTGAGTTTGTGCCACTCTTGGCTGACAATATCCATGGCATTTTAGAAATATTTCTAAGACATTCAGAATGGGCCTTTGGATATCCCATTCAAGAGTACCAAACCCAATGCCACCATCATTTTCATTGTTCATAGGAAATATCCATGTCTCATTAGACAATAAAATTTCACATCCACATCTCCTTCAGGGTCTTGTAACCTTGGGGTAAGTCAGGTGGAGAAGCTTATGGAGACAGCAAGAGCCCTGGAGTCACAGACCTGAGCTCACATCCCAGACTCTACCATTTACTGGCTGTGTGACTCTGGGCAAGTCACTTAATTAGTGCAATCCTTTGCACTAATTCTAGTTTTTGCCTCTAGAAAAATTATAAAATATTTATACTTGTCTCACAGGATCTCTGTGGGAATTAAATGTGAAATGCTTTTGACAAAGTGTTTTAAAACCAACGTGCTGTACAAACACTAATAATTATTGTTACTATTGTGGATGAGGAAACTGAAGCTCAGGCAAATAAGTGCCTGGCTCAAGGTCACGTGGTTAGTAAATGCTAGACCACTTGAACTGGTGTTTCTATTAAACCACAGGAGTCCAAGAATCTTTCCACTACAACACACCATATTCCCGCCTCCCCACACCCCACTCCCACAGATACCCATCTGTCCCAAGAGGTTTGCCCAGAAGAGCTCGTCTGACCCTACACAAAGATGGCCACCCCAGCAGTGTGAAGCCCCTAATGCTTCTTCCCTCAAGGCATGGGATGGGATTCCACTGAGCACCATGAGCCCTGCCCAAGCCCCACCATGAGCTCTTGGTGACAAGGAACTGTGACGAAGACACAGGTGGGCTGGCAGCTGGCGTGGAGTGCAGAAGGATGGAGGGAGCACTAGAGCATGGAGCTATGAGCCAGGCACATGACGCACGCATGTGATGGAGGGTTCCTCGGCTCAGAGGCAGACACAGAAGACTCACGACACGGACAACGCAGCAACCCTACCTTCTGCGGTTCCTTTGCCTTTCCTGTCAGGGGTCTCTAAGCCAGTGCCCCCTGAGGGGTACAGGGAGACGTCGGTTGGCACAGGCCAACTGCTGGCTGTGTCCTCCGTGATCTCATACATCTGCCCCTCCATCGGCTGCAGGTGCCAGTTTAGGCCAAACAGGTGCATGGCTGTGGTGAGCAATGAGAAAAGTCATCTTTTTCTGCTGAAGGCAGAAATGGGACTCCCAAGCCATAAGGGAGGGGTGGGCAGGGTGGGGAAGCACAGACATTCCATTCAGTTCAACAAGTAGCCCCAAAAGGGAGCTCTTGTAGTGCCAGGCCCTACAAAGGGGACTGGGAGACAGAGAGGATCAAGGTTCAGACCCTGCCATCAAGGGGCTTACAGTCTGGTGGAACTGGGAGTAGGCAGGATGGGGGAGTCTCAGGAGGTCTTTTGCTTCAAAAGATAAATAACAATCTAGGGAGGAAAACTGTAATTTGTGTGACAAAGTTAATTTCCTCAACACAAAAGTAACTTGTACAAATAATAAGCGAAGTCCAAAGCTCAGTAGGAGAATAGGCATTGGATATGAACAGTGTACAGAATAAGGACTACAAATAGCTCCTAATCATATGAAAAGACTCTTGGCATTACTCATAGTAAAAGAAATGTAAGTTAGACTCTGAAATACTATTTTTCACATATGGTTTGGCAAAGATAAATAAGGTTGAAAATATACTATATTGGCAGAGAATGGAAAACAAGCACTCCCATACTTTGCTGGTGTGAGAATTTGATGGACAAAATCTATGAAGGGCAATCTGATAAAAACTAGCAAAGTTAAAATACACATATGCATTATCCTGGGACATAAAGGTTCCAATTCTAGAAATTCCTTCTCCGAAATACGTGCACTAAATGATGTACACACCAGGTTATTCACTGCAGTACAATTTGTTATAGCAAAATATTAGAAACCAGTCCATTGATATGGGGCAAGAAAAAAAGTAATATCCACACAACAAAATTGGATGCAACCACTAAAGAGTAAAGAGGTTCTTTATGTATTTTCCTGGAAAGAAAAGAATAACATGCAGAAGTATATTTGCTACACTACCTTTGGGTTTAAAAATTCCTGTATATGTGTAAAATATTTCTGGTAGAATATGATCGACTGGTTAATAGTAGGTGTGTCCTATGAAGGATAGAGATACTATGGATTGGGGTAGGAGGGAAACTTGCTTTTCACTATATATCTTTTGCACATTTTCATTTTGTGACATGTGCATATATTTTTGTTCAAAAGGAATTTTTCCAAGGGACCAACTGCTAAAGTCTTGTACGATGATCTAGAAAGAGACCATAAAGCACTAAAGAATGAACGCTGCCCCTTGAGATATACACGCTTGAGAAGGCAAGGAAAGTTGTCTCCAAAAACATTTGTGATTCATCACCAAATATCTGCTTAAATCACAGTTTAGGATTCCAGCCTCGGGCCTTGTCAGTGGTCCAGGCTCACCTCTTCTGATGCCCACCTGGATTCCCCATACACGGAGGTAAGCGCTCAAGTCCCTGGACCCTCATGGCACCCTAGATGCAGCATTCAGACCTTTGCCCACTTGATGATCATTCTCCGAAAGCCCACTCCATGACAGATTCTGGAGAGCCAGAATGGAATCAGAGAGTCCCTGCTTCAGTGAGCTCACAGCCAAGTAGGGAAGACAAATAACAAAGTCTCTGCAGCAGGACCAGAAGGCCTAGAGGAGGGGGTACCTGACCCACTAGGAGGGCTAAAGGATCACAGGGAAGGGTTTTCAGAGAAATGAAGGCCCATAGTAATTGTATTTACTGAGGACCTACTGTGTGACAGGCAGTAAACGGGGAAACTTGTATATACTAATCCTCATGGCAACCTCACCAGACCCAATTTACAGAGGTGCACATTAAGGTTCAGAAGGTTAATTAAAAGTGTAATAGTCATAAAACTATCATTTATTGATTATTTAACAATATGCCAGGCATTGGGCTGAGAGAATTATAAGCATTCCTTTAACTCTCAACAATAATCCCACAAGGTATTAATGACCCCATTTTACAGATGGAAAAACTAGGCACAACAAGGCTAACTAATACACACAGGTTAAATGGCTAATAGGTGGCAGAGTCTAGACTAGAATCCCAAACTAGTCCAATCCTGAAAACACGCACTGTCATTCTTCCTGGTGTCAAGGCCCAGGCTTGCCTGCTTAGCTAGGCTGTCTCTTGCTTGCTGTGTCTAGCTGGGTGGGCATTATAAAGACTTCACCCTTTTATACATCAAACAGCCTCAAAGGCTTTTAAGACTCTTTTTAGGCAGTAACATAGGATCCTGTGAGACAGAGAGGAAACTCTGTTACCTGGCCGCAGTGTATGCAGGTGCCACTGGTGGTGGTTTTGAGGGGCTGTGTGACTGTCATCAAGGCACACGGAAAAACCGTTGAGGGGACTGGAGCACTGCATACCCTTCTGACTTTTAGTCTGAACACAAACCACAGGGAACAAACACACAAATCTCCTTTAGCCACTTGGGTGAAAGCAATGAGATCGGACACTCTGCTTTTTCTTTGGTTACTGTGGGGCAGGAGAATATGTGGGACCATAGGAAAGAAATGAGTTTTCAATCCCAGCTGCCACTGCCCAGCTGCAGTCTTCTCACCTGAGCAATGAGTATAGAAAGCTTCAAAACACTGTTGTATCGAGTGAGGTAATACGTGGTAAAATGCCTTGCAAACTGTACACATGTGTGATAACCATTCTTTGCATTTGTACTGTTGATAATGATAACGACAATAGTGGCTGACATCGACTGAGCACCTTTTTTGGTACCAGATACTAAGTGAGGTGCTTTGCACTGTTCTCCTCTACCTCCTAGGTAGGTAACAATAATACTACAACAGTTAACTTGCCTGAAAGCAGTGAATATTCTCCTATTTGCAAGGCTCAAAATTCTGCTTACCTTCTTACTTAATCTATATATTGGCAAAGTCAAAGGTAACAGAAAAATTGTTTGAGCTACAGACAACTCAGATATATGCAGCTAAGTGAGCAGTGCTTCCTTCCCCATTAGAATCAATTATCTCATCTAAGTGTGTGAAAGTGCTGTCTTGTTAAAAGGTCGTGAGCATTAACTGATCCCAGAATGAATAGAACTCTCACAGCTTTGTGAAGAGAAACATTTTTATTGTCACAACTTTCTTTTATTTTTAACAAGATGCAAACAAGTCCTTGCTTAAAAAAATACATTGGGGGTAGGGGTGGGAATAAGCCAGGGAAATAGTGTTGCAGGTCAAAACGATCAACAGATCTGGGGTCCCAGGGAAGTTAATTAGGGCAGGACAATCCACAGCTATGAGGGTAGGGGGGTGATGGTACCCCTTCCTCTCCACTGTGCCCACCTGGCAATCACAGAGGCCAACACAGCTGTGAGGCTGGCCAGTTGTCTCTGTGACCTGTGGAAGATACACTCTTGAAAACTATCTGGGAAACAGAAGCTCTGTATTCAACTCCAACTTAGACTGACTCTCTCAGGACATTTAGACATCCAAAAACAACTGCAGAGGCTGCTGGGCAGGGAAGGGTCACCAAGGTTGGGCTGAGAAATGGTTTCCTGGAAAGTAAGGAGTCGGATGAAGCAGAGATTCAGAGACATGAAGTTCAACCGGTAATGTCATCTTTTTAAGACAGTTTAAATTTTTGTTGGTACACAGAAGGTGTATATACTTATGAGATACATCAGATGCTCTCCCGGCTTGCAATGCATGATAATCATGTGATGGAAAATGGGATATGCACCCCCTCCAGCATTTATCTTTTGTGTTACAAACAACCCAGTTATACTCTTTTGGTTATTTGAAAATGTATAGTTAAATTATTACTGACTATAGTCCCCCTGTTGTGCTATCAAATAGCATACTTCTTCACTCATTCTATTTTTTTCGTATCTGTTAGCCATGCCACCTCTCTCCAAACCTCCCACTAGCCCTCCAAACCTCTGGTAACCATCCTTCTATTCTCTATCTCCATGAATTCAATTGTTTTGATTTTTAGCTTGCATAAGTATATGAGAACACAGCAGTCATTTTAAAGGCAAAATAATGGGGATATTTAATCTGCGATCCAAGGTTTTAATAAAAGTCATGCTAGTGACCCCGTGATTCTTTTACTATATTGTTAGGCAGGTGATTAATTCTACAGTTCTGGGTTATGGGAGAGGGGAAGAGGAAGGGAGAGAAGTAGTTTGCTCTCCTCTTTCCAAAGGACACAGCACATGCTCAGCCAGAATCTGCCCATGAAATACATGTGATCGAGCTACCACTTTTCTTTATCCTTTGTAATAATCAAAATCATAACACAAAAATTAGTATCATCTGAATGCACACTACATGCCACGTGCTTTATTATTCAGTTTCAGCTTCATATAAAAGTAGGTTGAAAAAAACATTACTGGAGAATGGAAGTGGGATAGAAATAGAGCTATAGTGATATATTCTGAGTTACTCAGAGAAGTAAAGTAAGTTGCCAGTCAGAGCTGGTAGAAATCTGAAGCAAGTTTAAAACTCAGGACCCTGTGCTCCCAAACCAAGCTTCTTCTTTTACACATTTTACTTTAAATAGAAGATAAAATATGGGCAGCATAAATCCACCAGTAAATAATATTGGACATAAATATTTGGGGAGGGGGAGCTGGCAGAAATGACAAATATTCCCTGGCCCACAGCAACCTTCATTTAAAGCTGTGTATAGCAGCTGAGTGCATGTTATCCAAATTATTTGGAAGACAGAGCCATGGATTAAAAAAAAAAAAGGTAACAAATATAAGTGGTTCTCCCCAGCCTGCTAAGAATGGACTAGGCCACTGAAACAGTATAAATTATAATCACTGTATTCCATGTTCCCTGAAGAATGCATGGTAACTACCCATCATCTGTGTACATCACAGGATTATCTATATGATACTCTGCAGTGTGTATTTATAACTCTTGTGCAAAACATTCCTCAAGTACACTCAAAGCGACCTAGATAAGAAACTTGATACTGGTTTTCCCATTAGACTAGTTTGTAATTCAATGAAAAGGTGAAAAGACGCTAAGGAGTTCAGAGAATGGCTGTGGAAAGGTAGCTGGTTCACAAGATCACCCACACTGAAATG